TGGCTCAGTGATTAAGAGCACTGGCTGCTCTTCCAGAAGACCCAGGGTTTGGTTCCCAGCACCCACATGGCTGCTAACAACCATCTGTAATTCCAGTTCCAGGGTATCTGACACCTTCTTCTGGCCTCTGTGGGTACTGCATGACATAGGTGCACTTATATACATGCAGGCAAAACACTCATACACAGAAAATAAAAATAAAATAAAAAGTTTTAAAGTGTAGATTATGAAGGACATTGGAAATTAGACTCTATAGGTTGTATTATATATATGAGCATTGAATTGGGTGGGGGACAGTGAGGGAAATGTGGAGAGGAGAGCAGATCTAAATGCCATCAAAATATATTATATGAAAATGGCAAAAATTCAATTAAAAATGAAACAAGTATAGAGTAATATAATCTGACTCAAAATTTAAAAATGTAGGTATGTGTATTAGCATACAGCACAGGAGGTTAACTTCTGTGTGCTTACAAGAGATTCCTCTATGGATTAGAACGTGGGGAAGGGAGAGGATAGGCTGTGGAGGAGTGCGCTTCACCCCTAAGGGTTGGGTGCACTGAAACTTCGGTTCTTCAGTGCGGTACTTTTGGGAAGTGAGGCCTAGGAGGAGGTGTGCAGGTCATGGTGGTGGAGCCTCGGGATGGGGTTAATGCTTTGTCCACAAGTGTGCTCTTGCTCTTATGGACTGGCTTCATTCCTGACAGCAGATTGCTAGCATTGTGTTCTTTCTCTTGTACATGCCTACTTGTCCTTCTCTTGGCCATTACAAGTTGAAACAGCAAAGGCCCACCAAAACTAAGCAAATGCTCGCACAATACCCATGGGCTGCCTGGCTTCCAGAACTGTGAGCCCAAATAATCATCTTTTCACTGCTCACTATCCAATCTCAGGCACTTTGTTACAGCAATAGAAAATGGGGCTGAGTCAGGACACAGACCTCTATTTCTCACTTTTTAAAAATAGTAATGTGGAATTTGGTGCATCTAACTCAATATTGGTATACTTTGCATCAAATAGCACTATATCAATTTGGAGCTTGCCTTATGGCTACCTCATTTAATTTCTAAACTAAATATAGATCTAGAAAAATCTGAATGGTCCTCCCTCTACTAATTTGGTCTTCCTTTCACATCTCTATTCTGTGACTAGAAATACCTTAGTATTAGAGGCGACAGATGAAATTTCATGTAACAAAGATTTTGGTTTACCAAAGTTCAGGGAAATGCTGAGCTTAGCTGCCTGAGCAAAGAGCTCAAGACGTTAATGGAATTCCTAGCTTTCCCAACTAATAAGGAACAAGAACATCATCAGCCATCAACCTCATAGAGGGGAGATGAAATATGACATTGTGAGCGTTCAGCAACACACCTGGCTCATGTTGACGGGTGGGGAGTTGGCCCCTACCTACCAGTCATTACTGTTTATATATACCACATTAAGAAGTAAAAGATTCATGTGATCTGAAGAGAAGCCAGAATATTCACATTCATTTATAATAATGATTTTTTTGTGTGTTCAAAAAAAACTTTATTTGTAAAAATAAGCAGTAGGCTCAATTTGTCCACGAGGTACTATTTGCCAGTTCCTAATGAAACATCTAAGCTTCCATGGATGTCTTGTCCATTGTTAGGCCTTTTCCAGCAGTGATTATAGAAGGATATAAAAATGCTTTAGATACCTTTAATAACAGAGATTATTTAATTATCTTTGATATCCACTGCCTAGCCAATGTATTCAATAATTGTTTGTAGAACTAAGTAACTGGCATCTGTAATACAATAATGGCAGCCTACCTCGTGGGTCCTTTTTGAGAAGTAAATGAGTTAATATTGAATACTATATAGAACAGTGCCTTGTCCATTGTTTATATATAGCATTTATTTTTAGACATCTCTAGTTTTTTATTATAATATTCAAAATCTAAAAGGGCTCTGAGATGCTTTGGTCTTATAATTCATTTGTATGCAAAAATCTCACATGAATTAGTATATAGTCTTTATTTATCCTTCCCAGAGGGAATATTGGGTTCCACTGCAGATCCTACTGGGGGGGGTGCTATATCATAATATACAGTATTATGTACCATATCATCTTTCTGAAGTTATGAAAATTCTAATTTCCAAAATACATTTGATACCAAGGAATTTAGATAAGGGGTCATGGATCAATGTTATTATCTTTGAAAACAACTGTAAGATAGTTTTGAGGAACATAACTAAAGCTATTTCAGTGTTGTGCAAAATTGAGCACTGGTAAGCTGATCTATTAAATGGCGATACTGAATTTTTAATATGCAGGTTAAAATCACATGACTAATTAGCCTTTAGCAAGTTAAATAAATGACCTTTAATTTGCATGTACTCCAGTTCCTTCCTTTCTAATCTTACACTGGGAAAGGTGAATTTCCTCCTAGGAAGTCTCATTTTCTCCCCACCTGCTGCCTTCCCTTGTAGGTTCGTACCTCACTATTGTTATCTTTAGCTTTGAACTCTCAGTCAGTTCTAATTATTAAGATTTAAACATGTTTCAGTTACTTCATCATAAACATTCCTCTAACGTAGTCTTACCTTCAGTTGCCAGCTTGCCTTATTCTTGAAAGCTGAATCTTCTGTCCCATTATATCTTTTCATTTTTCAACACCTGGCACTTTGGCTCCCACCCACATCACTGCACTGGGCTCGCTCACCAGGCTCCCCAACATTGGTGGGCCTTTTTGTGATGTACTGCTCCCATTCCTTGCTCCTTTAATGCTTGGGATTCTAGACAGGCCTTGTAACTACATGCTCCTTGGATAGTCACATTTACTTCAATTATTATTCATAGGCTGACAGCTCCCAACCTATATCTTCAGCCCAGCTCCCTTTAGAGACCCTAGTCACTGTGTACTAAACAGCACCTTTTTGATATTGATTTGATATTGACTAAACTCAGGCTAAAACTGGATTTACTTTTGCTCCAAAAACCTGTACATCTACTCCTTTTATGTTCCCTATTCAGTGAAGAAGATGGAGGGCATCAATTCTTCCCTCTCCTTCACCCTTTTTCTATTTTAAAAATTTTTAAAGATTTATTTTTATTTGTGTGTGTGTGTCTATATGTCATGTATATGAAGGTATTGGTGAGAGCCACAAGAGGGTGACAGATCTCCTAGAACAAGGGTTACAGGCAGTTGTGAGCTGCCTGATAGACCAGGAACCAAACTAGGGTCCAGTGGAAAGGCTGTAAGCTCTCTTAACTGCTAAGCCATCTCTCTAGACTTCTCCTTTATCTTAAACATTTAATGAGCCAGCAAGGCTTGCCAATTCAAGCTGGAATTTACCTCCAAGATCATCTCCATTTCAGACCAGTCATTTCTGGCTTAGATTACTGTATCAAATTCTTTACACAGTTTTGCCTCCTGTTTGGACCTTGGCTAATCCATTTTCAATAGCACATCCAGGCAAATGTGATCACATGTCTCCCTTCTTAAAGCCATCAGTGTCCTCAAAATAAGGTCTATATCTGCTCCCAGAGCTTTTATGTTTTATGATGCTCTTCTTCAAGCTCTATATTCTATCTAACAATTGGCATGTACCTCCTGAATTCCTAGGAATATGACCTCAGAGCAATGAACCAGCTAAAGCTTCAGACATTAAAGAATTTAAAACCCCATGGCTGGAGGCTGGGGAAGCCACATAAACAAAAACATTCCTGACTCCAGTCACTGTTAAAAAAGATGATGTAGTAAGGTAAGTGCTATGTCAGGGCATTGAGGTGCCATTTTTTTTCAATAACTAGTTACTGCATTCAGCAGTGCTGGAGAATGAACATAGAACCATGTGCATGATGGGCAAGAGCTCTACCACTGAATTATAGCCCCAGCCTAAGAAGTAATATAAACATGAGCGTAGTCCTATAAATATGTTCTCTTCTAAAACCTCTCTTGGAAAGTTTTCCTGGGCCTTGAGTCTGGGTTGGTGGCAGGTTCCACGTACTCCAGAGCACTGTGTGTTTGTCCTGTTCATTCCCCACTCTGGTGTCAATGACCACTACTTGTCTGATCCCCTATAGCAACAAGACATCTCGTACCTGGTCACATCCCCAGTACTTGCTGTATATGAAGTATTCAGTCTATATTTCCTGAATGACAGATTAAGAAGCTAGTATCATTAAATAATTCTCCTAGTTTGAAGGTCAGGTAATTTTGAAGAGAAAAAAATTAATGTTCTTTGAAAAACGGTGCTGGCTAACTGAAGTGAAGTCCGTGTAATATACTTCACTCATTATTTCCATTTGCTTTGTGGTCAAACATGAAATGCAATACCTAGATTAAACTAATGATGCCTTTCAATTTGTACATCTATGTTTTTGAATTTCTAGGCTGTATAAGAAAATGTAGCCTTCTTGAGAAATTGGAGTTATGAAATCATAGACTTCTTAAGCAAAACACAATCATCCTTTAATTGTATTAAGTAGTCAAGTTTTGATGAAAGCTAACTAGATCATTATCTTCCTTCTGATGTACAGATTTTCCTACCTAGAGGGGGTAAGTTCTAAGACCATCTACGTACTTTCAATTTAAACACTTCTGCTTTTCTAGTCAGAAAGCTGTGCCCCAAATTTCTCATTGCAGTTTGTAGGTATGACATTAGCCAGTGTGTTTAGACATCCCTCTTGTCTTCTATTAAGGCAACACTTCCAGGTCCACATAACTAGAGTTAGTCTATTTGCTTTTATCTTCTTAGTTCTGTTAATCTCTTTCTAGTTTATTGAATTTGGATGAGATGTGACTCAAATCTTATGTCTTTCTCCAAAATAATGGCTAATAGCTTTGTTTATTGTTGAAGTAAGAGAAATCTCACAGAGGCAATATAGAAAAGAAGATCTGTTAGCAAGAGAAAAACAGACTTTAATGGAAGAAATAATGCATTTGCCAAGGAACCATTCTGAACAGTGATGAGTAAGAACAAGAGAAACTAAAAAGATGCATTAAAGGAAAAAAATTAAATGGCACTTACCCTTAGTTCTTCCTTTGTATTGAAACTATCCAGAAGTTGTTGATAATGTCTATCTGTCATTTGTCGTAATAAGGAAAGGAGACAGGCAACAAACTCCCCCTAATTAAAAAAACAAAACAAAACATATTTTTAAAGGAAAGACATTAAAGAATATTAGCTTTTACTTCCCTTAAAGAAAATGTTTTTAAAATCTATGGGGCTGAAGAGATAGCTCAACAGTTAAGAACACTGAATGCTCTTGCAGAGGACCTGGTTTGATTCTCAACACCCAGATGGCAGCTAACAGCCATCCTTAACTCCAGTTCCAGGGGATCTTCTGACCTCTGTGGGCATTGCACAACATGGGCACACCTATCTACATACAGGCAATACACTCATACACATAAAATAAAAATAAAAATAAATTATTTTTAAAAACCTCTATCACCCCAAATTCACCCTGTTATGTCTTCCTAATCTAAATTACTTTTATTACAGCCAAAATTTCTCTATGTGATGATTACTATTTGCTTGGTATATATGAATTTTTATATTTCAGTATTTTTACTTGGGTGGAAGCTTTTCTCTAGGGAACTAATTACATTTATGTAAGGAAGTAAAGTTTAAAGCCCTTGCCCATTAACTAAGCATTAAAAAACCTCCCTTCTTTATATCATTTAGTACCATATCAATGCTATGTCATAGCGGGTATGGCACTTGTTTAAGAAAGGTAAAACACAGGCTTGAACTGGCTAAAAGTGCTGGGTATGGTGGTGCCTGCTTATAATCTTAGCACTTACTTGGCTGAAACAGGAGACTCATGAGTTCAAGGCCAGCTGGGATCCAGAGTGAGAACCTGTTTCAAAAAATTCAAACCAAACCAAAAAACCAAAATGAAACATACCAAAAAACCCCAAACAAAACAGACTAAAAGAGGGCTAAAGAGACTGCAGAATTGGAGCTATCCCTAGGTCTGTTTTGTTTCGAAACTCTTCCTCTAAGTTCATGTTCCTTTTCTGAATTCATAAGACCTTCCTCAACTCATTAGAATACTGATCTATTTGACTCACAGGGTAAAAGAAGTCATACATTATATAATGTTAGTTTCAATCTCCCTTTAGAAAGTGGTTTTAAGGTAATAACCACTCTGTGCTTCAGCTCTATGCAATTGACTCCTACAAAGTCCAACTTTTAAGCATAAAAAAGAAAAGAACACACATCATCCTTAGATTTGAAGACTTACATAAAATTGCTATAAATTGCATTTTCTAATATACTTGTAGCTTAAAACTCTTGTCTTTAATACAAACATTTTTGTTCAACAAAGAACTAATCTACTTCTAGATAGAAAAACAACATGTAAAACAATGCAAATACAAGAGAAGGAACTGGTAGTTAACTGGATACATAAAAAAGCTCCATTTAACTGGAGATTGGATTGGTTTGAGTTAACATGGAAAAGACTATAGGATCTCATGAAAAACTGGAGACTACGAGTCACGAGAAGGAGAAGACTAGGAGCCTGATAGGTTATTAGGGGCAAGCCTTTGAAGATACATCCTAGCCCCTGGAGCTGGTCCTGCTCTTTCTGTTTCCTCTTTCACCATGATGTAAGCAGCCACTGATACAAGCTCCCATTACTATGCAATGAATCACTCTACCAGCCTTCTCCATTATGACAGATGGCAACCCTCTAAAATCATGAATCAAAAGTCCTCCTCCCATAAGTTTGTTCTGAAAGGCATTTTGCTGCAATAACGCAAAAATAATTAATACAGGTTTGTAGAAATATCTCCCAAGCTCTGTCAGTGAACAAAGGAACTCTAGATATTTTATATGTGAGATGGAAAATTTAAAGAAAAAAACTATTGATACTGTAGTGGACACATGTTTTTGTCATCACAAGCTCCAGTGAACTTTAGATGGCCCTATTCCCCATTTCCATCCAAGCCAGAGGAGCACACTGTTCCTAGTGGTATGGCAGAGGGACTGCAGGAACTGGTGCCAAAGCGACAATGTCTCCATATATACAAACCCAAACCTTCACTTTCATAAGAGGTTTGTTGTGATTGGTGCGAATGCCCCTTCTCTGGCTACATAAGCAGACTGTTTAGCTCATCTGGTGAGTGGCCTGGTAGACAGATTCCTATCCTGCTTCCTCTCTGCAATGTTAGGTCAAATAAAAGGCTTCTCTTGTGTGGTCTGCCCTCACCTACTTTTAGTTGACCATGCTTAACTGGTGACGTGAGGAAAGAAGCAGCAGAGATGGTGGTGAGCCAGTGACAGCAAAGGCAGTGGAGCATTGACAGGGGAATAGCCAGTACTCTGAGACAGAGGTGGAGCCTCAAGAAAGCATCCTAGAGCAGCAGCTGCTGCCAAAGGATGGCAGTAACTGCCCCATGAACAGTGACAGCTGTGATAATGACCATGGCAATGAGAGACGACTGCTAATTGAAGAGAATAACCCAAGCAGGAACAGAAGGATGGTGGAAACAGAGGGAAGGTGAGAAAGGGTTCAAAGCTGAGGCCCAGGAGGAACAGAAGTTAAAGAGCCAGGGAAGAGAAAGTATAGGCCATGGTGGCTGAAAAAGTTCCAGGAAGCTGTCAGGTCTTTACAGCAGAGGACACAGCCACTGCCAGCCCAGGGTCTATAATACCAGACACTGACAATCCTGACTTCCTAAGACTACACTAGAGCTGTCACACTTGTAGGATTAAGGGTCTCGCTACCAGAGGCTTGCATGAGAATTACAACGCTACAAGGTACCACTGTTGGTGCTCCCAACTGTCTGTAGTCATACCCTGTCAATGCTGAGGGATAAAAACACTGCCAAAGACCAGCATTTGAAGAGCTTTCCCCTAGCCAGCCACGACTTCTACATAGGTAGAGCAAAATGGCGCCAGCTACTGAACACTCCCAGGGGCTGGGAGCACTGGTTAAACTGTCTTAACTACTGTGATGGTTCCTAAATATATACATATGTCAAAATACATAAAGTTACATATTTTAGATACATGAAACTTATTAGATTACAAATTCATTGTATTATACTCCAGTAAAAAAGGTCTAGAGGCATTGCAATGCTATGATGTATGGGAAGACACTATGTATAAGTTGCTACACCTTGCATTTCCAGTTCATTCCTTATTAGCATCTTGTTGGGTAGACACTATCAAACACAAGATAACAACCTTGAGGTTCAGGAATTGACTTCAGGTTTATAACTAGAAAATGGAAAATTGGGACGTGAATGGAGGTGGCTCTGGTTCTTGAAGACTGTACTCAGCCGTTTCCCTTCCTGCTTCCAGACTAATTTGCTTTCATAGAGGAAATATACCTGAATTTAGGGGTTATGGTTAAAACATAAATAAGTACATAGGGATCTGTAAGCTTGGGAACACTTCAATCTATTAATTATGTCTCAGCTTAAAATACAAATTATTTAGTAAAGACTCATTCAGCTTTTCTTCTTAGTTTTTCATATTCTGTGCAAACTATCTCTAATACATCTACCGCATTACTAATATTCTTCTATTTTTACTTCAACACATCCTATGAAAAGTGAAATAATTTGAAATTTGAAAATTCATATTCTGTATCATAATTTTAGTAGTAAGAAAAAACAATAGTGAATAGACTTCCATTAGGTCTTGCAATGTACATAGTGAATCTAGGCTATTAACTATGTATTTGTTGCATTTGGCTTAGGCCCAAGCAAATAACTCATCCTTCTGACATATAATCTCTGGTACATTTATGACAAGCTGTCAATTGCAACACCTACAATTCACTATTATTTATTCACTTAATCTATTTTGGAACCCCAAGTACATGTTCCAAAGATTAGATGTCTAATATTTCATTCCTGTATTTTTCTACTATAATGTAATTTCCTTTACTTTTAAGATATTTTAACAATATATCTATCTGAAAACTCATAATTTGTTAAAAAGAATATTTTTTTTTTCAGAAAATCACTAGACAAGATTCACTTACTTTTATTGTGGGAATTTCTTGATAAATTGCCTTTAAAACTCAATAGTCTTCAGTGGCTTGCATCCATTTTATGTACAGATTGAATGCAATGAGTATTTTTATCAATAACTGTCAAGAGTATTTTATGACTATGTCAATAGTCTTCAAGAAACCTTCCTTTAAACATATACATGTTTTTCCCCTGGTATTTCCTAGAGAATTCTCCTGTATTCCCATTCTCCTCTAATCATACCCCCTTTCCTCCTCTAATCACAAACCAGTAACAGTACATGAAGCCTTCAGACAAGCATACCAGAGGATCTTATGGGGCTGATGCTGAGCTGAGTCACCCATACTACATGTGGTATTTAACACAGTTATACCCAAAGAAACATTTATGCATTGTAAGGCACTCCGGTGGACAATTAGTTGAGGGCATGAGGTAAATGGCCATTTATACTGCTTTAAATCTGCTATATACAATTAGATTTTTGAAAGGAACCGATTACAATACAACACTTATTTTTTTTCCTAGCCAGAGAAAGCATTCTAAAGTTTAAAGAACAGTTGGTAGAAGAACAAAAAGTACAATCCCTTTAAATAATGAAAATAAGGCTGTTATCTGGAATCATGATACTGTTCTCAAGCTGGGCTTGCTGGGAGGCAAGGTAGCAACACAGTTCTCATAAAGGCCTGGAAAATTCCATCATGACACACTTGTGGGACCTGCTTTTCCTCACAGAGTGTGCACTTAGTATCGGCACTTAATGATGCATGTGCCCGCAAGACTGAAAGGTGTTCAATGTAGAAATGCCATGTGGAAACTCCCTATTCAGAGAAACTATTCTCTGTGACAAGTAAAGAGGAATGAGCGAGAGCTCCATGTCCGGAGAGAACCTGTTTTGTGAGTGACTAAGGTACTTCTCACCATAAAATTAGTTATAACTGCAATGATCACTTCTGTAACACTGATTACATTAGTGTGGCCACTGTTAGACCACCCAAACTAAAGACCAAATTGATTTAAAGACTGTTTAGGTAGTATGACTAAATCCTGAGATCAATTTTGAGATGAGGCCAATTATTTTTCATTTTAAAGGCAAGGAAACAATGGCTTAGAAAACTTATACATTTATCCACTTGC